AAGTTCATATCTATCTTGCATCAAGTACGGATCAGATCGAGTAATATCTGTGTGAGTATGAGGCGGGGCAGTTGCTCATTTTAAAGAAAATTTTAAATTTTGAATTGTGTAACAAATAAATGTAGTCCATAAATGAAATAGAGATAATAGGTAGATTAATTGAATCCAATTAGTTAAAATTGCACTTATTTATACATAGAGGTGGCAAATGGATTGATCCATGGATTGGTGGATCCATGGATCAAATGGATTGGTGGATTCATGGATTGGATCAAGTGGATTGGTGGATTATCCATGAATCCAAATGACATCTTCAATCAAGGACCAATATGTAAAATGTGAAAAGTTTAGATACAAAAATATCATAATGAAATTTTTTAGATACCAAAACGTAATTTTCCAATAATATTTTTTGATTAAAAAATTAAATTTTGTGTACCAAAATGTAAAATATAAAAAGTATAGGTATCAAATCGTAATTTTCCATTTAGATCCGTGGATCAATCCATGAATCCACCAATCTAATTGGATTTGGATCAAATGGATTGGATTTAAATGGATTGGATTAGGTAGATATTTTTAATGGGTTGGTGGATTGGATTGAGAATTGTCACCTCTATTTATACATCATTGGGTGTGGTGAAAATATGAGTGAAGATAAGTCAACATAGGAGATGGGAAGTAACCATCTCTATTTAATTCAACATTGGAGATGGGAAGCCTTGCACTCACTTCATTCAATGCAAGAGATGGGAAGTAACCATCTATATTTAGAATAGGGATGTTGGATAGTATTATTGATAATGGGAGTGCGGGGTGGGTAACTCAATATCCATTTTCGTCCTGTATCAAGAGTGGATCGGGATGGATAATATCCAAAACAAGTGTGGTCAGGTTGGTAATACCTGTATGAGTACGAGTCTAGACAGTCGACTCATTCTTATACATTATTTGAAAAAAATTTAATTTGAACAATGAAACGAAGAAAATATCATCCATAAATGAAAATTAGAGATTTTAGGTAGATTAATTGAGTTCAATTAGTTGAAGTCTTGCACTTATTTAAATTAATGTTATTTGGTGAAAATAAGAGTTAAGAGAAGTCAAATTAAAATTGGAAAAATGGAAATAGATATTGAAACAAATTGAAGTAGAACCAAGCAAGGCAAAGCTAAAATATTATCCATGTCTCGTCCCACACTACTACAGGCCGTTATTATCCGCACAATCACAAATCAAGTCATATAGTTATGGGTAAAAAAACAACAAGCAAACCGACTCACCCACTCAATCCGACCCAACCTACTCGTATATTATCGTGAAAATTAAAGTTATAGGTTGGGTGATGGTTTTCTTTTGTACAACCCGCCACTATTGGGTTGGGTGCAGATTTTGGGTAATGCAACTCGTAGAACCCAACCTAACCCTGTGTTGAACTATTGTCATAAGTGTTCATATCTCAAACATATTTGTGCAAAATTATCATATATTGTCATATTTTTCTCTTGTGGTTTTCCTAGACTAATACATTCTTCAACATACATAATAATATTTTGACGTAGATTTAATATAAACTATGATTCACGTAATCTTTTTCTTGTGTACAATTTTAGAAGAATAATATATTAAGAATGTGTTAGCTTATAACCCCTGTAGGTTATATCGACAAATATTTATGAAAAAAACTAGACATATGTTGAAGTAAATTGAATTTCATTAAAATCCAAACAACATTTATGCATATTGATACTTTTCATCTCGATTTATTTGTTTAAATTTTTAATTAGTTATATAATATTTTTATAGTGTAGAATAGTTGTCTTTTTGTGTTGGGTTGGGTTTTTAATTAAAAGTATCTCCAATCCGATCCAACCCAATTATAAACAAATCATAGAGTTTTAATTTTTTGGGTGGATTTAGATTTAATATTTTCAAAATCGTAGTATATGATTTGGATGATTAAAAGGGTAAAATACCTCGGCTACCACTAAAGTATAATAATTGGGAGAGCTATACCACTTAACTAAGAATAGGGCATCGCGTACTACTGAACTCTATTATATGTGCACCCGTTACCACTTAAGTTTACAGCTAAGTAAATTACGTTAAAGTTGACAGAATATTCTTGAAATATTCCATTTTCTAAATTTTATAATTGGTACTTGTACTTTTCTTATTGTAAAAAACCATTTGGACTTATGAAAACATAATTTTTTATTGTTTAATTGGAATCCTCTTTTGAATACTTGATACCAAATCAATTTTTGAATAGAAAATTTAAAATCAATTATCATTGTATGTTCTTATAGTTGAATAATTTCCTGAAACAAATATATCTTAGGAAGTCTATCTTGATATAAATAATCTGAGATTGTTATATTTAGTTCTCTTATATCATGCTGATGCTATCTAATTTTTCATGTTAAATATCCTTTTCATTCTCTAATATTATATTGTAGAAGTTTCATATTAGTTAAATTTAGTAATTCTAAATTATCTTCCTATAGTCATATTTTCTTTTCTACATTTTTTATTGAATGTTGTAGCTTTTATAATTTATTTATTACTTGGTTACTTTCCGTCTCTTTCGTCTAAATATTTTTTCAATTACTAGAATATGTTTAATTCTTTATGATTGTTTTCCATTTATCCTTCTTTGGTTTTGATGTATTGGTGATCGATTATGTATTTTAACTATTTCTAATGGTCTTTCTAATTGAATTAGGAGGGTTTAAAGATATTCTAATATTGATTTCATATATTTATTATTGTATTCTAGTATCTTTATTATTTTTCTTAATATCTGTTTAATATTTTTATTAATTTATCTATTTTATTGAGATTTTTTTATTAGTCATTCTAATAATAATATGTTTAGAAGGTTTTCTAATTTGTATATTAGACAAAACTTGTTGAAATATAGTTTTGAATGTTTTTAAATTTTTTGGGTACCAAAATGTAATTAAAATTTTGGGTTGGATGGAAAAGTAGACGGATGCATATTTTGATGATTTTAATAGTACCCGACTCTCTATTCAAACTTAAGTGGTATGTCTACTTCAATTCTCAAACTTAAGTGGTACCCGAGGTATTTTATCCATGATTAAAATGACCAAACCCAAATTACCCAACCTATATATACGATACGGAGTACTCGATGTGGCGAACTACATCACTAATTTTGGGAAGAAATTTAGGAATAGGGGAAGAATCAAGAGAAATGCAAAACCATAGCGGTGAAAACACATTTCTTCTACTATATCATGATTGGGCACTTGCATTTGGGCATTATAATGAAGTTTGGGGGCAAATAAGCAAATCTCGTAACAAAAGGAACTCTCTCTCTAACTTTCCTTTTCTCTGCCTTCTCTCTAAGTTAGAGTTTCATATTCAAGTCTCCATTGGGCTGTCGTCAGCTTCCCTTTGGGACTGACGGTGGCCCTCCAACCCTTTTACCTTTCCTGCTTGTTTTTTTTTTTTTTTTTTTTTGCTTGGTTCTATTTTCTTTTTCAGTGCATGTTTCGGGTTTCCTTGTTTCTGATATCTATTTCACCTTCATGCCCATTTTTGGGGTTTTCTCTCTGCCACTCCTTGTGAGATGGATGTCTCCTGTTCCAACCTCTACTTCTGATCCTCAGATTTAGATGTGCTTGGTTCTTTCGCTCGGTGGTCAAAGGGGGCTATTGATCTTTGATCGGTAGCTTGTCTTCTCGTCTTCTTATCTTTCATCTACCTCCTTGCTTCACCCATTGCGTCGGTGTTTCGGAGATGCAAAGACTTTCTCTTATGCAGCGGCCTGGATGCGGTTCTAAGATGTTGAAGGCAGGGATGCATCATTCTGAAGCTCGTCTCTTTCTCCAAGCCTGTTCGTTGCCGTTTCCGTGGTCTTCGGACTCCTCGCGGACTGTAGTTCTCCCGTTGTGGCGTTGGTCCAGTCGATGCATGGTGAGCTGGTGGCTGGCGATTGGTTTTCGACGACTCTGTTTGGATGGTTGGCGGCGGCAGGTTGGAGAAGAGATGTTAGCTAGGGTTGGTGTTGGTAGTTGTCTTTAGGGTTAATTGGGCTCACTTTGCAAGCTCTGGGTTTTGGGCTTCATGTTTTGTTTCTTTTTAAAACATTTGTAAGGGCTTTGTTTGTGGGCTTTTTTTCTCTTTGGTTTTTTCTGTATCTTTCCATGGGTTTTTACCCTAAACTTTGTACTCACTTCTGAAGTGCAATATAAGCAGCTTCTTGTCAAAAAAAATGAAGTTTGGGGTCACTAACCATAAACCTAAAGAAGCTGAAACAAACATAGGAGGGATCAGACATCCTGGGAGGCAAGATAAAAATTTAAAGCCCACTAGGTTGAGCCGCTACTTTCAAACTCAACAGAGAAACCAGTGAAACGACAAGAGGCTGCAAAAGCAGACAGCAGCACAGCTGCACCTGCAGTCCTGCACAGCACAACACAACACAACACAACAGAGTAATGAAAGAGGGACAACAAAAGATAAACCAGTCCCATGCTAAAACTCCAACTCCAAACATCATTCCCATTTCCCTAGTTACCCTTCAAGAGATCCTGCCTTACCAATCATCAGGTCGCCATAGCTGCTCTGACTAAGCTGGTCAGGCACTGGGTTGCAGAAGGCAAGCAGCTCACTATCTCAGTGTGTAGGAGAAAGGTTAATAGTGATCATCATGCCCACACCTCTATTGTACGAAGGATATCCAAATATGACAAATAGCTCACCGAGTCAAAATCAGAAATCAAGATATGAAAATGTAAATAAGACTACTCAAGAGCCTTGCGTGTTATCGACAGCTCGATTATTCGACCTGGATCAGGCCAAAATGAAACTGAAGAACGCAAAAGATCAAGAAGACGCAACAAATCCTGCTAACAGAGAGACCTGTCGATGAAATCATACATGATGCGTTTCAAATTTCCACAGGCATGAGAAGAAATGACAGTTTGGTAACAAAAAAGGGAGGATTATGATTACTCTGTCTAAAACAACTCTATCATTGAATAGATGAAAATTCCAGCTCAAAAGGATACAACAAACTGGGCTTACTATTCCAAGCTTGCACAGAACAGCATACCCTACACACCAACAAGAAGAAGCAAACTCAACTCTTCTCACAAAACTCAACAACAACAACAATCACCAATGCCGGGGAGAAAAGAAATCACTACCAAAAAATCTCTCTTCTACTACTACAATGGCTGCTGCTAAGCTAAACCCAGCAACAGCAGATAGCTCAGGCCTTAGAGTCAAACAAAGACCAACAAGTTCTAGACGCCCTTATAGCCAAATGGGTAAAAAAAAAAAAAAAAAATTTGGTCATGATTGATTGCTCCCCGTCGAGGGGGGGAGCAAAGAATGGAGAATTCTACTTCTGCTACTCCAATCTAAGCCACAAAACTGCAGAGGACTAAAAACGCCTTCTCAAAGCACTAGGCCAACTTTCTCTGGTGAGACGACGACAGGCGAAGGATGTGCGATTAGAGGTTCATAGTGATCAGCTCCAGCCACTGACCATCCTGCATTGCATCACACGAGCGAAAATATAAGTTTCCGATAGAGTTAAATACCGTTTTTCTCGTCCAAAACTCGTAGGCATAGGAGCAAGCATGGCAACACAAACGTAAGGCAACACCATTATTTTTACCTGTTCCTTTCATGAACAAAAAGAAGGGAGGATTACAAATTTCGCTTCTCGGACGATGAGGGAGGAAGAACACACAATGGTCCTCATCGACCATGGCATCTGATCCATGTGCTTGAACCTGCAGCAGAACACGTGGAATTACTAAGACTTGTTCAAAGAGATTCAAAAAACGGATCTTTACACTATTCTTTTTCATCATCAATAATCCCATATAGAGAACTTGAATGGTTGAGAATGCATCTCTATACTATTTTCTCTATCATCAATCAGACGATTACACATGAGAACTGACCAAAAAAGGGATCAGAGACTAGAGGATAGAGGGTTTACCACGAAGATCTCGCGCTTGAACTCGGTGGCGATACACTCTATGGCAATGTCATCCCCAAATGCTGCGGCATGGCCTTCTCTGTTCTCCTCTACTGATAACAAACCTTCTTCGGTGTATTGCAAGGTGATTATGTCGTGTTCATCTTCTGGTGAACCAGAGATCGCCATGTACTTCGCCCAACTCGCCCCATCGTTCACTGGAATACACCTCTCTTTGTATATCGACTCCTCCGCCAACGGCCTTCACACAAATATCAAATGTTCATGTCAGCATTTGCAGAACATACAATGCATCATGAATTAAAGCTTTGCATCACACAGACCAACCAAACAACACCACATCGAGTATCCATATGAACACAATTCGTGAGAACATCTAGTCCATCCTTGATTCGAACTCTAGACAATGAAAAGACCAATCACGCAATACAAAATCACTGCATCTAACATTTCGTCACAAAGAAATAATCACACCATTCTGGATATGAAGTACCGGAAATCAGAAATACCAATCAAACCATATAAACCACAATCAAATATCCGTATCAACAGTTCATCAAACATTCACCACATCCAAGATTCAGACGTTTCGCAATTGAAATAGGGCAATCGACGGAAGAGGGGGAAATGGGGAAATGAGTTTCATTTCGATAGAGAAAGAAAGTTTATACCTTTGCATACCCAGCTGGACTAATTCGTCGATGCCGGAATCAAGATTCGAGCGGTCGTCTTTCTTGGCCAAGAGTTTGACCTCCTGAACGATATGGATCCCCCACCCGTTATTCAGATCCGGCGAGTACATATGCCGAATCGCGTCGTTGATAGCCGATTTCTCATCCTCGGCGGCGGATCCGAAGTCCTCGAGGAACCTGCGGACCGTACGCAGCCGGAGCCCCCTCGCGTCGATCTCACGCGCCATCGACATCGCCCTCTGCGAAGCGGTGAACAGGCAGTTCCCGTCTGAAGAAACCTCCCCGCCGTGGGAGAGCCTGAACACCACCGATCTAGACGAATCATCCGACAACGCGGCGTTTCCTCCGTCGCCGTTGCCGTCGCCGTCGCCGACGGGGAGCTTCCAGAGGACCCCCTTGGCATAGAGCTTCTTCAGATGGCGCCTCTGCTGGTCCTCGAGCCCAACCACGTCGTCCCATCCCCCTGTGACTGTCGTCGCCTCGGCTGCGACGGCGATTGTCTGGTCGACGGCCAGATCTACTGCCGCGGCTGCGACAACGGCGGCGTTATTGGTTGGATCCCTCCAGGCAGGGGAAGAAGTCTCGAAAGTTGTTTCCGCGACGGCCGACGAATCGCATAGTAATTTCCCCATTTCAAAACCCCGTTTTCCCTCTCTCGTCGGCGGCTAATCGGAGAAATGAATTTTCTGGTTCAGTTTTTTTTGGGGGGGAATTTTTTTTTGGAGGGAGGGAGGCGAGGTTGAGAGAGAGGAAAAGAGAGAGAGAAAGGGAAAGAAAGTTAGGTTTAACGGATAGATGTACGACGAGGGAGAGTGGCTTGTACACGTGGCACCATCTTAGGTTGTCTGACCGAGACAGTGGGACCCAAGGTTGTCAACCCGCGGGTTGACCCGCGAGTCGACCCAGTTTGACCCTGACCCGATGAGAAAAACGGGCCGCACGCACCCGCCGGGCCAACCGCTATAAGGTACCGGGTTGGAGGTCAAATTGTGTCATTTTTTTCTTTGATTTGAGAAATGCGCCTATTTTCCGATTTTTCTTTTCGCCCAACTCAATCTTTGGAATCCTAAGTTGAACGTTTGAATATTTATGTTATATAAGTGTGTGAATTTTCATTATATGTTGGATCTAAGTACGATATGTTATTTTGGTGTAATATTATATGTTATAACTCATATGTTAGATAAGATTTGATATAATTTATGAGGATAAGTACAATATAATGACTTTTTCCATATTTCCCGGCCAAACCGGGCTAAAACGGTTGACCCATTAACCCTTGACCCACTAACTCGACCGGGTCCGGGTCAACCCGCGGGTTGACAACCTTGGTGGGACCCAAAGAATTGGCGAACACTAGCCAGATATACTATTTACTTATTTATTATTTTAATTTCTCAATTTGTTGTTGGCAACGGCATCTATTGGTGGCAACTCGCATATGCGTTAATGCCAGCTCCTCGGCCATCGTGATGGTTTTAATTTATTCATTTATCACTATTTTCCACTTGTACAAATCTGACTTATGAAATGCGGACGCGTGGGCATTGGTACGGTTTTCAATAAGAAATAATAAAAGCTTAGTTTGGCCCTGCTGTAGCTTTTGCAGAAGCAGCTTCTGGCTGGAGCTTTTAGATAAGTACTTTTCAAAAAAAGCAGTTTAGTGTTTGGCTGTAAAACTATTAGAAGTGCTTTTTAATATGAGCGGTTGTGTAAAATGACTATAAAGGACTTATAATATAAAATATAAATAAAAATTCGAAAGAAAGAATTAATTATAGGATTAGAAAGAATTAATTATAGGTTATTATATAGTAAAAAAGTGGTTACTAAAAAGACCGATCAGAAAAAGTGTTTGCTAAAAAGGTCTAGCACTCTTACTATACACTAGCTTATTACCCGGCCCGTTGGCCGGATTACTGTATGTTACCCACTTGTGGAATGGGAGAGAAAGCAAGTGAGAGTGAAGGGATTGGGATTCCACTTGATTAGGACCGACCCACTAATCCAATTCTTCCCGACCCGCCCCAACCTACAGGGTCAGAAAGAGTCAATAAGAAAATACGAAAGGGGAGGATTAGTCATATATCTTGACTCTTCAGAAGTGGGTCAAACAGGATCAAGGTTGGGTGAGGGCAATTTTTAGCGCTAAGCAGAGTTCTGGGTTGAATACCTTTACTTAGGCCTAGAAATTGGTGTTGATGCAGACTGCAGTTTTTATTATACCATCATCAATCATCATTGAATTAGTCCTGGGCATCCCTCCCCGTTGTCGGTCTGAATTCTAATGATGGCTTCATTCCTTGCACCAGCCATATCAGCGAGTTGCCATCTCAAGCATGATTTGCCTATGTACAAATAATACAATTAGAGTATGAAAATGAATTCAATGAAAAGGAAAAGAAAATTCTATCACATGCCAATAAATACACACATAATAGTTGAAGCTAAGTGAAAGTCATTACTCGCACATCAATTCTCAAAAATTACAGACTAAACATTGGCTAGAATGGCACTGAAACTACCAAGAATCATGGACGAAACAACTTGTCAAATTAAATAATCCTTATACTGAAACTACCTTCTAACTTGAAATAAGACATGATCACAGTTCATAGCTCTCTTCTCACTATGAATTGGTTGCAGCTCGTCCTTATCACTGCCTCTCAAGCTCAATTCAAACAGAATAGAGACCGTTATGTAAGATAACCATATTCTTACTGATCATAATTCCTTTCTTCACTCCATTTTTGTCAGAGAAAAGAGTTATCCCCCTCTCATGCATTTCCCTTTCCCCCTCTCTTCTCCCTCTTCTTCACAAACCGATCCCTAAACCAGCAACAACAACACAAAAATAGCCTTCACCTCTCCCGTCTCCATCTATTGAACGCGTTGGTGGCAAGACAGGACTGCAGAAGCAAAATTTTCTAAAATCAAACTAATTTTTTTGAAGCAGACTCAACCACGAAAAAAGAGTAAAGCAACAATGCAGTAGAACCCTAAATTTAACTACAATCAAGCACGTATCAGCAAGATTTCCGATTTGTTTGAGAGTTAACTACACGAAGAGAACAATTGATGCATAATTGAAATGCTCCAAGCAAGTTGAAGGCAAACCATAACTTTAGAATTTGGTCATTATAATAACCTTCAAGTATTGATGCTTCTAAGAACTATCATGTCCAACCCCCACTTATACAACTACGTAGCCATAGTAATTAGTTGTATAATGAGAAATATTACAAAGAAAACTACATAAACAATCAATGTAAGTTAATATTAAAACTAACAACTGATAAAACTTAAAATCTCTCTATTGGTATAAATGTATCTATTAGTAACTACTATGCAATCGAGTATATATGATTTTTAGGCACTGAATAAGAAAAGTATAGATGGCTCACAAATAAAGACGTAGCAACTGAAGGTAGCACACAAAAACCAAAAATAGAAAAAGAGATAAGAAAAAAGGCGAGAAAAAGTCAAACAAAGAAAAAGCCCACATAGGAATACCTCGCTAGCTTTAGGGACTCTCTGCCACAACAAACAACCTTCTTAAAAATCTAACACCCTGAGACATCAAACAAACCTCCCACGACACTAATGTATGGCATTCCTATTGTCCAATAGGTTTGCCCAATTTAGACTTCTAAATAAATGGACTTTTCACCATTAAACCAAAACTCACAATCATTAACAGTTAATGCAAAGACATACATTTCTGAGGCCAATCACAGCATTTAAGCATAATTTTTAGTTGAAAAGAACAACTAAGTATTTAGCTAAATGATATAGTAGAATGGACACAATCTGCTACCTACTAATGATATAAACGTGTACCGGTACCATCGTTGTATCCTGCCTTGCCATTTGCAACGGGCACTTTGAAAGACAGCTGCATTTTAGAGAATAAACACCCATAAGGGCGTTACGAAACCAAGCTTAATCCAAAATCTTCATATTCCACTTCGAAGACTCCATTTTCAAAAATAAGAGAGTTTAACATGTCAAATCACTCATTTGAAAAATCTCAAACAACTATTAATCAATGCAATATAAAGGCACGTTCCAAATTATGTACTTGTAGGAATAATCCCAAATAATTATCAATTAATGCCCCAACTACCTAATGTGCAGAATAGCCCTGGAGCTGTGTTGTTGTTTGCGTTGGTCTACTTAACATAGTTGCATCACGAACCAAAGCAATTAAGCAAAAATCTTCATATTCCAAGTAGAATGACTCAATTCAATTTGGCCAACGCTTTATACATATTGTTTACCCCTGGACCTGTTGCACTTGCGCCTTCAGATCTTCGTGAACACAATACAATTGCGGAGAGGAGGCTGTCAACTAAATAAAATTATTAATTAAGTGAATCACCATACAACTAAACAAACGCGCTCTTCTTGATTAGCTATCAAAATAGTGGGGGTCGCTACAATCCATCGTTTGCTCCCTCTGCGCCTAAGTTGTAGATATTAGGTTTCAGTGAGAACTTTGAGTACATGAGGAGATATTTTGTAGTGGAGGAGATGACCCGGCGAGTAGAATAGGAAGATTTGGAGAGGCTGCGATGGGCAAAGCAGTTAAAATCGAGATTATACCTAAAATCGAAAACTGGGGTAAAATCAAAATCGTATAATCGAATCGTAAAATCGTAGGATTTTAAGTACCATATAGAACATAGCATATAAGAATATTAATAAGGTAAATTATTAATATCACAAAGACACATAGCATTTAAAATGATAATTCAGAAGATTTTTTTTCCATAAGATAATTCTCAAGATTAATGTTCCAAAATCACTATTTTAATTGTTATTTAATGTGCAACTCAAAATAATTTATGATGAAGGGATATAGTTCATGGGTTTGGCTCTTATTTTCATGTTATGTCTAGGTTGTTTAACTCAAAGTAATATTTCGACATCGTCTACTAAGTATGATTTAAAACTAAAAATAATTGAACTCCAATAAAATAAGTAGTGTTAGTGGCTTGGTACAAATATATTCATTAATAAATTAATTAGTTAATAATGATGTTAGTTCTTACATACTTCCAATATTAGGACAGGTGTTTTATCAATAAGTTAAATGGGGTGAAGGGAAAGAGATTAACCGAACCCTAATTTGGTTATTTTTATTATTTTTGAATATTTTTCTAATAGAAAAATGTCTGAGAAGATTCCATTGCCCTTTCCGCTGAAACAGTTATACTTATTTTAAATTGGCTCAAACCACCTATTTTGTTCTCTTACGATCAAAATCCCGATTTCGGTACTATTTTACGATTTTAACGATTTTAGTCCGATTTTAAACGATTTTAAGGTCCACCGATTTTATAGTAAAATCAAGATCGGAATCCCTAAGTAAAATCCTAAAATCCTACGATTTTACGATCAAAATCCCGAATTTGACTGCATTGGCGATGGGTGCACGATTAGTGGGCCAAATAACAGTTTGGGCCCGTTTAAATGAAAACATATTTTTACTTTCGTGCTCAACAGACCGACCGCACTGGCATCTTCTAAATTTACCCCTAAAAAATTGCTCTGTACGCATCAAATTTGAAATGGAATCCCTCTTTTCTCATTTCACATTTCACATTTATATGATGTGTAGATTGTGATGAGTGTAGATGTAGACCTGTCATTGTCCTACAAATTCATTAACACGCCAAAAAGTGGTGAAATGAGCCACCCTATTAAACACAATCTTGTATAATGATCATTGGATCCAATCATGCCAGATTATGAAGAAGTTTA